CAACTGTTTGAATGTTAGGCAAAAAGCTTTTCATATACCATCAGCCTTTATACAAAAAAATAAATAAAATAAAATAAATAAAGCCCTGTTGGCATAAGTAACTGAATTAATTGATCAAATGTTGCTAAAATGTAATTTCTGAGTACTCTGAGAAATTTATCAAGGAAGCTAATAAGTAGGGTGACCACCTGGCAATAAATCTGTTGGGGGACAGTAGATGTGATTTTGAGGGACAATGTGGGACACGTTTGAGACAGATACATTTACTACTGTTAAGGGCTGCCATCTCTCACGCATTCAGCGTGAGACTCACAAAATTGACACTTTTCTCACGCAGTGAAAAGCACCCTCAGTTAAAACGATAATATTAAGATATTGGCGAAACATATTTGGTAAATGCTCCAGTGTGCATTTGTGTTTGCGCTCTGGAAAGCGTCAAAAGTTTGTATTTACGACGTGTTTTCGTAGCGCTAAGCAATGTTGCCAACCACATTCACCCAGGTATATGTCCTAGCCCAGTCTTTACTAAAAGAACATTTTCTCTTTTTTTGTTGCCATTATGACACCTTGTAAAATAGCTTTTACTTTACCAAATTTTCCAGAACACGAGCAAGCCTATATACATTTGTGTGTTATATTACATGCATCCCAGTAATGCACACTAGTAGGTAAGTTAACTGAAAACAGTTAACTTCATCAGCTTCATTGTTAAGTTCATTTTGAATATTTATATACATATAAAAATTTGCCAAAATGTTAATCAGCTATGTTCTGACAAAACCCAGAGCTCTGATTTGTCTAGTTTCACCCATATATTCTATAGAATCATGTGAAGGTTTGCATTTAAGCTGAAATTGCTGTAACTCTAGGGAATCCTAAACTACTCTTCCCATATTCCCCAAACATTATTCATTAACACTGCAGACTAATTTTATCAGCAGTAATGTTTAAGTTAGGAGATGATTCTGTGCCATATACAGTTTTGTATTCAGATGTTTAACAAAACGTTTTGTTCATACTGCTCATTCTGTTCACTTTGGTTGTTTTAAAAATATATGCTGTACTGTACTCGCTCCATTTACAGAAGCGATAGCTGTGTTTCAATTTCTTTGTGCTTGTCAAAAGAACAAAAGCCTAACAGAGGCCACAGTGAATCAGAGAGAGACGTTAAGAGATGAGATCCTAATAATGTCTGAATAATGTCCACAGATGAGGCTAAAACAGTTCTGTACTGCAGAGAAGAGGAATATAAAATAAATGAGTGAGTGAATAAATGTAATCTGATCCTGACAGATGTTAAAGCAGGTTAATATAGATGGTGAGGCTCACAATAATAAAAAAAGGGAAGGCTACAGTCAGCTATTATCTACTTGCATTGGCATACCAAGGTGTGGCGAATGATACGATAACTGAACAAAAATGAAACTGTGAAATACCAAATTGAGGTAAACAGGGGGAGTAAACTCAGTAGGAATTAATTCAGCTATATCTGGTGGATTTCATCGTCAATTTTGTTCACTGCAGGGACACAATTATTCTCTTAAGAGACCGCACATTTGACTGCACTTACCTCAAATACATCTCTAAACCCTAGATTCCCTGCTGTGAATGCTGTTTACTGAAAGGCCGCACCAATCAAACACAGATGATAAATATTTATAATATAACACTGGGGCATGAAATAATATTTCTTCATCGCTGTAACCAAATGACCTGCTGAATGACCAATTTAGACTTTTTAAACCAATATCTTAAAAAAAAAAGAAAAAAGATATATATATAAAATCCTGCCTTTAAGCTAATACAAAGTATCAGGGGGTTGTAATGGTCTGTAGAAAACCATGTAACATGTATGCAATTTAAATGTTGCTTGCACTATTTATTTATTAATTAATGAATGACTGAAGGAAGGAAGGAAGGAAGGAAGGAAGGAAGGAAGGAAATCTGTCAATGAACAAATGAATGACATAACACACTGGTACGTCTTAATTGCCATCAGTGGAGAAAGATGCTCTTTGGTGTGACTACCCTGCAAGCTAGCTACTGTAGCTAGTCAGGCTGGTTATATAATAATAGTTGAATTAATAGAGTGCTGCAGCCATGACATCAAAACTCAGAAGACTAATTCGCCATGGGCTCCCTCAAGATTTTCCTTTTTCAAGGTAAATCAAGACCTGTGTTAATAATAAATGGACGATACTTGGATGTTTTGCTATATGTTTTGACATTTTACACAATTTATTGATTTTGACAGTACTCAGAAGATTTACACAAGAATGTGTTATTGCATTCACAATCAGCTAGACTCTTTGTCATCTGTTTTATTAAATATAAATAAAATGAAAATATAATATTCAAATGTAAAATGTTACATTTAGCTAAATGTTTATTTTTCTTGTCCATATTTAGTTCTTAATAAGCCTAATGCTTTAGCTTTTGACATCAAAACGCAGAAGATATTGAAGTATCTTAGTTTCAATTTAAAGTACGTTTTTACTGCAGTATAACTCTTTATCTCTAAAAGACACTGAGTTTAAACATATGCAGGGCACCATTTCCTCATCCTGTTGTGATATAAAACCCCCTTAACATGCGGATCTCTCTCTCTCTCTCTCTCTCTCTCTCTTGGACCGTTGTTCCACAGCACTCTGGGTAACACACACTATCAAACATGGCACTGCAAAAGACATACGTGTGTACCTCCACCCCCATCAGACAGAACACTACTAGCTCCGTCATCTCCTGCACCATAATCCTGCCCCAGGGGCAGTATTCTCACCATACTCATTATGTCATGTCTCTGTACTGCAGTTGCAATTCTCTGAAACACCAAGTGCTGCTCTGATACAGACAACGCACTGCTGTTCACCACTAACTCGCTTTTTTCCTCTCGTTTCCTTCTATCCCTCTGAATTATGCATGCTGTTTCCATCACTCACACTCCTCTAAAGATGTCTTCTTCTGCCAATTAATGGTACAGTGGAAGTGTGAAGGGATGAAGAATGGGCGCTTGTTGCACTGGAGAATAGTTCAGATGAATTCAGTGGATATACATCGCTGACAGCATGCGGCCGGAGGATTCGTTGAAGTGCAGAGAGTGCTCTTGAAGTCTGTGGCACTGCTTGTCTGAGGCTCAATGTGAAGGGTCAGGGAATCGCTGGGGCTGCCATATATCAGGGTCAATGCACAGGGTGCGTTTGCCTCCTTTCAAGACCCTGTATATACCGCAAAACAAAGATTCACTGAAGATTAGAGAAGGCTAAGTTCTTTCATGTTACTGTGCTACTGCAATGACAAAAAATATATATATATATATATATCTGGTTTGAGCATAGTAGATACTGCTATCAATGCAGAAGCATCATGCCCTTTCAAACTGAGATGACTGAGCCAAGTGGATTTTCAATAAAACTCCTAAAGTTCATGGTGCTCAATTATTAACAATGGTTTTTATTTTTTATCAGTGTTGAAAACAGTTTTTTGCTGCTTAATATTTTTGTGGAAATCCCAAACTTTTAAATGTATTGTATCATGGTTTGTCTTGTATCATGTTCCAAGTAATGACTGCTGAAAATTCAGCTTTGACTTCACAGAACAGATTGCATTTTAAATTGTAATGATATTTCAAATTATTACTATCTTTACAGCATTTTTGATCAAATACTGTAGATGCAACCTTGGTAGGCATAAAAGGCAAAAACATTAAGCAAAAACATGGTAGGCAAAAACATTAAAAAAACTCATTTTATGTTTCAAGAATAATAAGGAAACCAAGACAACAGAAAATTAACGTTATCATACGTAAGTTAACATACAAAAAATATCAAATTTTTGTTTTCACTAACAAATAATGTGGCTAAAATATAATACATTTTTTTTAAAGTTTGAAATAATAATTGATACAATTTTAGCCGCATTAGTCAAAAGTTTAATAAGAAGATAATAAAGTTTATTACTAAACACACACACACACACACACACACACACACACACACACACACACACACACACACACACACACACACACACACACACACTTAAAATATGCCCCTAGCTTATGACCTGAGCATTGTACTAGCAACACCAAGGTCATGGTTTTGATTCCCAGGGGATGCATGAACTGACACAATGTAAATCTTAAATGCACTGTAAGCCTCTTTACATAAAAAGTATTTGTCAAATGCACAAATGTAAATGTTGTCACAGTCTTCAGCGGGTGTGCCCAGGATGACTGTGTTCTGGAAGCACATGGCTTGTGTTGTGTTTGTCTGTTGCCATGTGCTCTCTCCTGTCTATTGTCTGGCCCCTCCCATCTTGTTACCTCGTTATTGTTTAAGTTGCTCCACCTGTGTCTCCCTCGTTAGCCTCCTCGTTTGGTTCCTATTTATTCTCCTGGTGTCTGTCATCCTGTGCTGATCAGTCATTTCTCATTGTGTGTGTTATATGTCTGCATGGAGTGCAGTTTTGAGCCTGCCTGTCTGTTTATCCCCCTCGGGGTGGTTTGAGTTAGTTTTTTGTTTCATTTTCATTATTAAAATAAATAACCATTTCTCCTGCAATTGAGTCCTCGCTTCATCTCCCCGCACGCACCGTGACACTACCTAGCATTGTTCGGGAGGCAGACACACTCTGTCAGTTTAAATCTAGATTAAAAACCCATCTCTTTAACCTAGCTTACACATAACACACTAACACATTTATAATATTCAAATCCGTTAAAGGATTGTTAGGCTGCATTAATT